AAAACTTTGTTTAAATAATAAAAAAACCACTTTGCAGTGGAGAACCGTAGCAGACACGATGTCGACCAAGTTAGTGTCACTGGTAATAAGAAGCATAGATGTGCCCTCTGATATGATGTCCTGAAAGGACACGGCATCATTTCTGTGGTGTTCGTGCCAAAAAATGCATTAACCCATATTTAATTGGGAGACGAGAGCAGACAAACCCAAACTGTGGGGAAGCCCACAAAATAACTAGCGAGTATTCTTCAAGAGTGTCCAGCTCAGGAAAGACAAAGACAGACTGAGGAACCCAGAGACTGAAAGAGAATAAGGTGACGTAGCATAACGTGCAGTGTCATGACCCTGCTTTGGGTCCTAGAGAAAAAAGGACACCAGTGGACAAAAATAAAGAATAAAGTCTGTAGATGGGACAGCAGTGTCGGTGTTAATATCCTGCTTCTGCACATGGGATTGTGTTTATGGAAGATGCTAACATTTGGGGAAGCTGGGTGATGGGTACAAGGAGGTTCTTTGCACTGTTTTGTTACTTTTGGGGGTAAATCTTAAACTGTTTCAAAATGAAGAGTTAAAAGTCTTAAAAAATTTTTTTTCCAAAAAATATATATTTTTTTAATAGACCTAGATTATTGGTCCTCACCCCAGAGATTCTGAGTCAGGAAGTTTGGGGAAGGTCTTGCCAATTTGCATTTCTACCAACTTTTCAGATGATTCTGATGCTGCTGGTCCCTCTGAGAACCACTGCATTATATTACATCTACTCCTGCCCCAAGCCTACCACACCCTGAAAAATAAGAACAATTCATTCACTTATTCATTCATTCATTCACTGGCTAAGTCCTCACCGTCATTATAATTATGGCTCATTAAGCATACACCAGCAAATCTTCTTCGCTACCTGTGGAGAAAGTGATGCTTTCTGTGAAGGAGTCTAGAGAAAGTCCTATTTATACTGAATGTACCATTAACAGATGGCTTGCATTATCACCAATAGAAAGAGCCCGAATGTCCATCGACTGATGAATGGATAAAGATGATGTGGTATGGCTATCACTCAGCCATCAAAAAAGAATGAAATCTTACCATTTGCAGTGACATGGATGGAGCTAGAAATGTACTATGCTAAGCGAAATAAGTCAATCAAAGAAAGACAAATGCCATATGATTTCACTCATATGTGGGATTTAAGAAACAAAACGGATGAGCACATGGGAAGGGGGGAAAGAGAATAGAGCAAAGCAAACCACAAGAGACTGTTACTGACAAAGAACAAGCTGAGGGCCGATGGAGGGAGGTGGGTGGGGGGTGGGCTGGGCGGGTGATGGGGATTAAGGGAGGCACTTGTGATGAGCACTGGGTGTTGTATTTAAGTGATAAGTCACTGATTTCTACTCTGGAAACCAATATTGCACTGTACGTTAACTAACTAGAACTTAAATTAACTTAACTTAAATTAACATACGTATATGTATGATACATATAACATATATGTTGCATATACATATGATTAGTATATATATGATATATACGTATGAAAATAAATGGCCTGTCTGTTGTCCATTTTGCACCATTTGAGGCAGACCAAGGGAGCTTTCTCCAAATTCCTGAGCCTGCCCATCATGCTACCACCTTTTCTGAATTGCACGTAACCAAATGCCTGATTTGTGGGAAGGATGGAGGAGAAGGGGTCCTACCCTTGGTTTCAGAGCCTGAGGAAAGAGAGGTGCCAGATCAATCCATAATTAACACCGATCTGCTTATTTCTCACAAGCCTCCCATTTATGAGAGAATAGTCTCAGGTCAGCCAAATGCTTTGGCCACATCTGTGAACCCCGCCATCTCCCAATCAGCCTCCGTGCTTAGCTCCCTTGCTGGAGCCTGGGAACATTCTCCCGTCCAGGAAGCACGTGAGCCTCGGAACAGGAAGACTTCATGGGTCTCCTCTAACCTGGAATTTTGCACTGGAAGAGGACAGCTGTACCAGGAGTGGTCCTCACCTCTGACCCCACCAGCAGCCAGGGAGATGACCGGACCCGTATGCCACAGCGCTGTCTGAGCGTGACCGCGGCGGGCATGGGCGTGTGTGCAATGCTCCCCCAGTCCCAGACTGCACCCCTCCGGTCCCAAATCGCGTCAAGAAGAGCCTTGCGGGGAAAGCCGACAAGGCCCAGAGAAGGGAGAAGGGAGGCAGCAGCCTGCGTCCAGACAAAGAGCTGGACGGAGACTTGTTGGCGAGAACAGATGCCCCAGCTTCAGCTGGAAGAAGGGGGCGGGGAGGCCACGCCACAGCATCCGCTCTCACCGCGCATCCCGCACGGGAGCCCCGTCCCAGCACCCCTGCACTCAGCTGCCGGGGACTCAAACACAGGGAGGAACACCTCCTTCCTGCTCCCCTGCCCCCCGCCCCTGGACCGGGCACCAGCAGCCTGTGACCATGTGCTGGTCTCCACAAGTTCCTCAGGGCAAGGAAGCCAGCCTGGACAGAGGCCGAGAGCTCGAGGGCAATGATTTCTTCCTTCGTCTGTACCCAGCGTCCCGAGGCAATTCTGCTTCTGCTGTTGTAAAAATCTCCGTGAAGGAACTGGACTTCCCGGCCAAGTAAAAAATGAGAATTTAAGAGCTATGGCAGCTCACTTATTCCTAAATATTCTGTCAAGGGTTCTCAGATGTTTGTTGCACGTGTGCAGGAAAACACATGCACACACACACACACACGCACACACACACCCCTTAACAACATTCCTCCTTCTATCACATCTAAGGATCTCCAACTTCACATTCTCTCCCAGACTACAGCCCACCCTGCAGTCACCCCGAGGCTCTCCTGGCCCTCCGCTCTGGACACGTGAATCCCTGATTTTTCCTGGCTTCCTACTCCTATGCCCTGATCCCCTCTGGTACCCCCTCTAAGGTCCTAGAACCCCAAAGAGGACTGAGCTCCACGCTTCCTGAACCATCCTCTCTAACCAATCCTTCCAGGGACCTCCTTCACCAAAGGCTGGATGCCATGCTGAATATTCTAGTGCTTCTCTCTGTTCAGCATGGACAGTTTGGAAACACACACACACACAACTTTTCCAGAACATTTTTGTTTTAATGTCCTACTCAAAAAATCCTTACTGATGGAACCCTCCGCATTTCCAGAATGTCCCATGAAATATATTCATTCCAATCAAATCTCTCCCGTGGGTCTCAGGACCATGAGGAGTCAGGAAAGGAGACCCTCACCTTTAGATCTTGTTTTGCCCCCAACATAGATCCCCTTGTCAGGTGCCCTTGTGGGTTTTCAAAAAAAAAGTAAAACAAACGGTACTCTGGGCTTACTCTGTGCCAAGCACGGTTGTCAGTACTGGAGGTGGATGAATCCACCATGGGCGAGCTAATCTTCACCACCGCCTTCGAGGTAGAGGCAGGGGGCGGAGTAATTTGCCTGAGATCACAGAGCTGATGAGCGATTTAGATTCCTAAATTCATCGCATCCCTCCACCTCCCAAGAATCCTGGTTTAAGAGCTAACAGCTGTTGAGCCCCCTTGGCACTCGTCACTGCGTTTCCTCCTCAGGGCAACTTAGGCAGGGAGCTGTTGTTCTTGCGCCCATCCTACAGATGAAGAAGCAGAGGCAGGCTAGCGATCGTCCTTCGTGACACGCCAATCACGTACCAAGCGCCAACCCCGTTCTCGGAGCACAGGCCGCCTGTCTGGCAGGCTCGCAGAAGGGATTTGCGCCTCGGTCTGATTTCAGAACCCTTAGTCTCCATGCTCTGCATGGAGAGCGAGAGAGGACCACCTGTGATAAACATAAATGGGACGTCCCAACACCCTCGTGGCAAAAGAGAAGAGCAGGAATCCACAGACAGCCTTCCGGCCAGGGCTCGGCGGGTACGAGGCGGACTGCCTGCTCCTCCAGGTAATTTACTCTCCTGAACGTTTTAGACGTTTGACGTTGGCCCATCTTTTCCCTGTCACTGCCTGTTCATCATGCGTTGATTCCTTCAGATTCATAAAGCAAGCAGACTTCCGCACAGGGTGGCCCTGGCAGGGTGCACGTGGCTCTGAGGAAGTACCTGCGGGTGGGCGGTTTCCCCCTCGGGCCTCTCTGTGACTCTCCCCTCATGCCCACCTCCTGTGGCCACAGCCCACCGAACACCGAGGCAGCGAGGCAGCAGATTACAAACGAGGGAGCACCAAGTCGCCCGGGGACTTGCTAAAGTATGGAGCTCTGGACCCCACCCCAGGGCTTCTGATTCAGCAGGTCCGAGTGGGGCTCAAGGATCTGGTTCTAACACCAGGTGATGGTGATGCTGCTGGTCCGGGGACCCCTCTTTAAGAACCACTGCCCTAAGGAGAGTTGATAAGGTGGCAAGGGTCTCCAGAGACCATGAGATGGAGATGCTGTGTCTCTTGGGGACAGAAAAGGGTGTCTGTAAGGCTGGGAGGATACAGAGAACGGCTCTCAGGGCAGCCTCTGTGGGGAGGAGCCCAGAGTGACTCACCCTCCCTCCTGAGTATTCGAGGGCTCCCTGCTCTCTCCAGGCCCCAGGAGCTTCCCTTTGGAAACATGCTGCCTCAGGGGACTTCATTCCTTGCCCATCAGGGAGCGTACAGTCTCCTCTTTAAAAACTAGAATTCATTCTCTCATCACTAGGCAGACAGAGGCAGGGCAAAAGGGCCTCTCTAGCCCCTCGCACCAGCAAGGCCTGGACTGACTATATGCCCCTAAGAGCAAAGTATCTCTGCAGCTAAAAGCTGCTGCTTCCACAGTGCCCCCGGGACTCTTCCAGCTCCCAAAGCAGGGATGGCGTGGCCCACGGTGGGAAAAGTCCCGAAGCTTTCGGCTGGGCATGCTGGGGGCGGTGCTGGAAATGCCGGACCAAACAGGAATGCCAGGGTCTTAAACACCAGAGCGTTCTAGACCCTCTCCTGAGCGACCGTGCACCACCCTCCCCTCCCCGGGCCTCAGTGGCAAGAATGGGGCCTCCCATGCAGCCTCATTCTCTGGAGTTTCACTGTTGGAGCCTCCAGTTGGGTTCTCCTTGCACTGAGATACACAGGATCTCCTGGAGCTGCGACCTCTGTCATGTGCGGGCTCTGAAGTCACCTGCACGTAAGCAGATGTGGCACAGTGCTGGCTCTGGCTGCCCCGTGTGTGAGGGGGGGCGGGGGGAGGGGGGGTGTGCACGTGCACCTGAGACCAGTCTTCACACTCCCCTTAACCTCAGCAGAACCCCTGAGATCTGGAGACTGAAGGTCATCTAGCCTGTTCCCAGCAGAAATCACCAAGGTCCTCAAAGATCCCGGGTTTCACTGACGGAAAGCCATCAACTGCTGAACCCACCGAGAGAGGCTACCCACACGTGCACTAAACTCTTTGGGTGTTTTCTGCTCCTCCGACTTAGGAAGGTATTCGAAATACTGTGTAGCCCAGGCAGAGAAAGACAGAGTCACCTCCCAAACAGTCAAACCATAAAGTTCCTTCGGTACTCAAAGGTCCACTCAGCATTAGCACCACCGCTGGCTGATGACCTCAGGTACCACACCCCCCCCCCCCCACACACACCCCCACCCCACTAGGTCACCACAGAATGGGAGAGAAAGCTCAGAGCCGGAAGCCTACACTCTCGCCAAGCCTTGCTACTAACCAGCAAGTAGAAGGAGGCCCAGTGCACCCATCTGTTGAATGTGGGGTTGAACTGGACAGACCCTGAAACCACTGCAATAGGTCGTCGAACCATCATTAGGTGCCAAAGCCTGTGGCACGCGCTCTGCACACCTTAAGTCATTTAAGAGGCCTGCGATTCTTACAGGAGTGGTATCGTCATGCCCATTGCACAGATGAAGAACTGAGGCTCAGAAAAGCAAACCATCATGCCCAGAATTTCACAACCCGTAAAGGGCTGGGTCGAGATTCTCCGTCTTTCTTGTCTAGCTCTCAGTCCCTCTCTCTACCATAAAGGGGCACGTCCATATGCACACAGCTGCACACTCCCGAGAGGGTCTGGCTTTTCACTGCGACGCCTGATGAAAAACAGCAGCTTTACCTGATTTACTCAAAATGCTGGTGGGGGCTGAACACGCCCCTGGGTGAGTCTGTGACCGGAGGTAGCGGTATGGAGGCTGACGCTGTGCCTTCTCTCTATCACTGCCCCGCCCCGCATGCTCCCGGAAGGCCGCGGCCGCCCTCACCTGGGAAGGGCTCCTTGAGGAAGTGGCCGTTGATGGTCTGGTTGGCCGTGCCCAGCGGGTTTTTGGCGATAAGGGTGTAGTTGCCGTTGTTGTAGTGGGTGGGCTTGTTGAAGAGCAGGCAGCCCTCAGACACCTCGCCCTCCTGGTAGTACTCCACGTGGGTGATCTTGGACTCACGCAGCGGCTGCCCGTTGTGCAGCCAGTGCAGCGTGGGCGGTGGGTTGCCACGCACCACGAACTCGATGCAGTGCTCCAGGCGCAGCTCTGGCTCCTCCAGGCTCACCACGCGCGGAGGGTCTGCGGGGGATACGCCAGCTGACTCCCAGAACTCAGAGTCTCCCGCGTCCCAGGGCAGCCTTCCAGAAACTGGGATGGGAATCCCAGTTCTTCCCCGGCCAGCTCTGAAAAGACTGGGGGGACAAGCGGTTTCCCCACCACCGTCCCCAAGGAGGGGGAAGGGATGGCCATCTTTACCCGAGCCTCCCGGGTCCAGCGCACCTGGAGGGCTCCTTCCCATGACCTTCTAGGGGGTAACAGAAGGCACACTTGGGTCAACTGTGGGGTATTCTGAAACATAGATGAGGTGGAAGCATGCCACCTCCTGGGGGACAGGGACAGCCTTTCTGGAGTTACCAGCCCAGGACTAACTCCTCGAACACCTGCCCCGCCTCCCACGCTGCCATCACCTCGGTGCACAGCCACCCCCTTAACGGCAGCCACTCACAGTGCACGGTGAGGGCGACGCTGGCATTGCTCATGCCCACCACGTTCTCCGCGATGCACGTCAGGGTGAAGCCGTTGTCCTCACTTGTCACGTTCACCAGGGTCAGGTTGATGGCGTGCACATTGGTCCAGTTCAGATTGGTCTGAAACCCCAACAAAAAGAAGGAATCGGTTTCTACAAAGTGACTCCCCACCCAACTCCCAAACACCTTCAGGGATCAAAAAGAAAGCAGTGCAGCAAGTGAAGGAGGCGTTTCCTGCTGCTGTGCGCACCAAGGGCCAGGCTCTCTATAGCCAAGAGCTCAGGAAACCCTCCCATTTACCCTAGAAGGTGAATGGCAGCCTATACCCATTTTACAGATGAGAAAACTAAGGTACAGAGAAACTTACTGGCATGTTTAAGATCAAGCTGGCAAGAAAAGACTGCAGCTGGGTGAAAATGAAGTCTGCACGAACTCTCCTTCCCCTTCCTTATCCTCCCATGCCCTGCTTCTATTCATGATCTAGCTCATTTAGACTACGGCGAGGGCTCCCTCCCCAGCCTCCCGATGGGGCCGGAGCCTCGGACGCCTACCTGGTGGGTGTTGATGGACTGCAGGCCAGTGACTATCCAGTCTACGTCAGGCAGCGGTGATCCAGAGCCATTACAAGTGATGACGGCATTGTCACCCTCTCGTACGGTCAGGTTGACGTGGCTCACGCTGATCTCAGGAAGGTCTGGGAGGGAGGACAGGATGAGGGGAAAGGTAAGTGAACACTTGACACCAAAACTTCGTCCCTGGTCTGGACGCTGGCACTTTTGGCACCAGCTGCTGGAGCTCCGGGAAGGCCACAAGTCCCTGCACCTCCTGGGCAGATGTCAGACCTCGTGGGTGGGGGTGGGGCAGCTCCAGCAATGACGTCAAACGGCGTCTTCCACTTTGGGCACTGCTTGTCAAGCTTTAGTCTGCTTCGGACTCCCACAAGGAGTTTGCTAGGAATTCAGATTCCCGAGACCCATCCTGAGACATTCTGGGATCTTGTAAGTCTGTGGAGCCCGGGAACCTGCTTTTCTGAGGTACCTGAGATTCTCCTGATACAGAAAGGTCTAGAAACCATGCTTTGAGACATACTCCTCCGGGTCTGGTTGACAAACTGGTCAACTGTGGTCCATTGACAAGGGACACCCTTAACCCCTGTCTTCATTCCTGAAACCAGCCTTCTCGCGCCTGGCTCACGAAGGAACAGGAATGACCAAGGAGGTAAACGGTAAGCTAGACCTGCACCCCGTGCAGAGTTCCAGGCCGGGGGGGAAAAGGCCCTGGCTCTCCAGGCTACTGCGCAGGGCCGTGTCTGGGGTGTGAGGGATGCCTCCCCGGAGCGCGGTGCCAGGCGGCTCACTCACCACACTGGCTGATGTTCATGCGGAAGAGGGGCAGCTGGGAGCCGTCCGCGTTGATGCAGTAGAGGTGCTGGCTGCTGAGCTTGGCCTCCCCCTGCTCCTGCCACAGCTGCATCCAGCGGATGTCACAGCTGCAGTTGAAGAAGTTCTGCTCCAACCTCCTGTGGGCAAGACGACAGGGGAAGGGACCTCCTGAACCGAAGATGGCCCAGCTCCCTCCCCGGGGCTGCGAGGGAGGCCCCCACCTGCTCTTCAGGGATGAAGCAGAGGAGGGGTTTAGCCAGCTCTCGAGAAAAATTAAAAAATACTTACAAGTCCATGAATTTATCTAGTTTTTAAACTAATAAACTCGTCTGAAAAACAGAAATCCACTCCACTTAACCTACCTTGGCAACGAGACCCTTTTAAATATGTCAGCTTGGGATGCTCCTGTTCTCAAAACGCCTCCAGCAGCTTCCCATCTCATTGAAAGCCAAAGTCAAAGGTCCACGGGGTACGCACTGCTCTCCATCACCTCTCTGATCCCATCTCCTACCTCACGCTCCTTTCCTCTTCTTCAGTCACACTGACCTTGCTGTCTGACAAGGTCACTAGCATGACCAGCCTGCTCTTGCCTCAGGGCCTTTGCACACGTTGTTCCTTCTACCTGCAGAGTTCTAACCCATAACGTATCTGCTAGATTGGCTCTCTCACTTCATTAAAGAATCATATTGGCCTCCTCTGATCACTCCTACAGGTAAGCTACTGCTAACACCTGCCCTCACGCTGTCCAGTCCTCCCCACCCCCAACTATTCTCTTCTTTTGAGGATTTGTCACTGCCCAGCATCACTTTGAAAAATTATTTGCTTGTTTATCACCTGTCTCACCAAACAAAAATTAACCTCCATGGAAGTCAGAGACATTGCCTATTTGGTTCATTGCTGTATCACCAGTACCTATAACTGAGCTTGGCAAATAAATACCCATTGAAAGAACAAAAGAAGGGAAGGGGAGGGAGGGAGGGAAGGAAGGAAGGAGGAAGGAAAGGGTTACTCTCCCTGGGGAGTAAGTAGGTAGCTATTTCTAAGATATGCTCAAAGCCCATCCTGGGACCAGCTTTATTCTTTCATAAATTCAACAAAATCCTTACTAAGCCCCTGTTCCATGCTTGGCTGTGGGCTGAGTGCTGTTGATACAGAGGTGAAGAAGACAGTCTCTGTTCTCCAGCGGCACTCAGCTTAGTAAAGAAGAGCGTCTGACGGGGAAAGAGTCAAGTTCAAGGCCTTCCTTCTCCACTGACTTTCCATGTGACTTAGAGCAAGTCCCCGCCCCTCTAAATGGAGTTATCTCATTAGGGGGACAATGAATGGCTTTCACTGATATAAGACTCTTCAAGTAAAGGGCATCTGATAAATCTGAATGCCTGGATCGGTAAGAGGGATGTGATTCTCTTTCTGGACCAGTAAGAAGATAAATCTGCTGGTGCCCAGACAGAAGGGCTCTTGGGTAACCAGGATATTTTGGACAAGTGGCAGAATCCCGAAGTAATTAAGCATGCATCCAAATTGATCGGCTTTCAGGAAGAAGTGAGGCCCCGGGGGAGGAATCCGTGTTTCCCAGCCAGTGGGACACCACAGGTAGAACATGGCAACACCTTTGCATGATTTCCCTTTGGTCTGAAAGTACGCTGCTCTCTTTCAGAAAAGAAGAAGGGACCTAACCTTCACTGAGTATCTGCTTCCCAC